CAATTCTTCTCCTCCAAATCACGCCATTATCGAGAGTACCACGACGCATGTGTGTGCTTTCCTCTGCACGTAAACAAGGCTCAGAGGTACTCATGATTTGGAGGAGAAGAATTGTTGGATAAAGTTGTTATTTTTGTTTTCATTGCAGATAAAAAGTATTCTCACAGCTTTGTAAAATTATGTTTGTACCACTGATGTCACTTGGTCTGTTTTACCATTGTCCTTACTACGTTTCTGGGCCTTGAACATTTCAGTCGCGTTGCTGTCTATGCAGGGTCAGAATGCTCTCGGATTTTATCAAGAATATCTTAATTTGTGTTCCGAAGATGAACAAAGGTCTTACGGGTTTGGAACAACATGAGTAATTAAGGACAGAAATTAAGCATATAGCATTAGTTCTGGCAGGTCACGTGAGTCAAGCTTGCATCGGCTGACTCAGCTGATCACATCTAGCTAAAGGAATACGACCCCTATCACGGCATTCCTATATAAGCTCTATTCAGTATTATTCAGCACCTTTTTCACTTGCTCAGGAGCAAATTACCCTCCTCCATCCCTAACTCCTCCTTTCACCACAGACAGGACTTGGCTTTCTGCTATTCCTAGTTTATTCAGACTCCTTTTATCTTGAATAATGTGTTACACTTATCATTAAGTGCATTAATGATATCTGCTTTGTTCTGTTCTGTTTACCATACAGTAAGGGTTTTTTTATTGCTGCTCTCCCTGCTCATTCATGACAGGCTGCATGGATGGGCAGGGAGTTTTTGCCCAGAACAGAACCATACCGCCAAACTAAACTGTATGCTAAGTGTCAATCATTTTGACGATAGTGGTCCTGACGGAATTTTCATTTTTGGGTGAACTATCCCTTTAAACACAGATAATTATGTCTCAAGTGAACAAACAGTTGGGAAAGTAATCGAATGTTTGTCAGTATATTAGATAAATGAACACACTGACAGGGACCCCCAAAGTTTTGCCCTCAGAAGTATAAGACTGGCACACACTGCATGCATTATTTATTTTATAGAAAAATCATTTTAAAACGTAAGTATCCAAAATGATACAACAGTCTTTTGAGAAATGTGTTGGTATTTGTTCATTCATCACTGTATTGCACTGCATATGTTTGCCCCTACAATTAAAACTATAGAGATTTGATCATAAAAAAATGTTTTTATTATCTCTAGACTATTATTTAATGTGTCAGGCTTCATGGATTAATTGGCAGCACTGTGAATCCAAGAAACACTCTCGGTATTTTAGTATGATGCTAAACATTCAAGATTCAACCTTTAGTGTAGTCAAATGTCTTTAAAAATCATTTGGTTCTGGTGTTTTTTAAATAATAGATTGGAAAAAAATATGGTTCCTAACCCTCTCACACGTTCTCTCTTTCTCTTTAGCCATCGTGCATTATTAGCATCATCAAAAGCAAGCTATCACAATTCTTTCTTTGATACTGACTTTATGCCTGAAGCCATTTTTACTGCACTGGGTGGTAACTGATATAATTAAATGGGGGCGTACGCTGCAGGACAAACATGACTCATAAAAGAGCGAGATTTCACAAGTAACAAAGAGACACTAGATTTCATTGTTTTGAGCTGCACAAACATGATGACAGCTATAGTTGCAGTGTAATTCCCTGATGAATGCCTGACTAATAGGCTTAAACTTTACAAAGTGTTACTGAGAGAAAGAGAGAGAACAGAGCAGAAACAAGCTGTTGTACGGTTTGTAAATGCGGCAATCTGTCAAAAACAGCACCCTTTCTTTCTTGATTTTGAAAGTGTGGTGCAACATCTACTGGCTGCAAAAAGTATTGCCTTTGGTGAGGTTAGAGGCACGACAAAAAAGGGGGAAACAAGCTCTACAATGCAGCTCCACAACCTGCTACAATACCCATGTTGTCAAAACTGCCAGTCTAAGAAAGTTAATATAATACAGATGAATTTTAAAGGAATAGTTCACCCAAAAATTACAATTCTGTCAGCATTTTCTCACCCTCATGTCGTTCCAAACTGATATGAATTTCTGTCTTCTGCTGAACACAAAGGAAGATAATTATTTTGAAGAATGTGGGTAACCAAACAGCTTTGGGTCCCAGTGACTTCCATATGTTTTTTGTTCATGTGATGGAAGTCAATGGGACCTGAAACCATTTGGTTACCAGCATTTTTCAAAATAACCAGTGTTATTTTAATATCATCGAGATATTAATATTTTGAATTCGTTTTTTATTAATTGAATTAGTTTAACTTTTTTTATTTTCCATTTTCAATTTAATTTGATTTTTTAAAATGATTATTCATATTATTAGTTTTAGTTGTATTAGTATTAGACAGCTGAAATAAACCTTGTAAGTTTAAATAAAATATACAAAACAAACTTGATGTTTTTTTATGTTTATATAATTTTCAGTTTAAATGAAAATGAGAAATGTTGCATTGGCAACTAGCAGAAATAAAATATATTTAGTTCATTTTTACTTTATTTTATAAGTAAAACATTTTTATGGATTACGTTTTATTTCGCTAGAATAACCCTGTTTAGAACAACATGAGGGTGAATAAATGATGACGATAGTAATTTTTGACTTATTCCTTTAAATTGATGTAAGTTGCTAGGTAGACTGCATTGCATCATCATTACATATTGCATATTTGCATAAAACTCAGTCACTATTATTGACATCCAAAACCATCAATACACAACGAAACTGCATGACGTCACTGTCAGTGTGAATAGAGCTAGACTGATTTTATTGTTTTATATTTTTCTCCTATATAGTGGAAATAAAGTGACCCAATTTTTCATCCAATTAACTTTATTACATGCAGTTACACAGTCCAGCATTGCGCTAGCAAGTACACATGACTTGAAGAGAATTCGACACTTAAGTACAAAGTACAACTGACTGACGTAATGCACTTTTCACAAACCAGCTGCCACCGTCACAAGAGCATAAGAGAGGTTGGATCTTTCCACAAACCACTTTTATCTACTTAGACAACAGTACTCAAGACCAATACCTGAGGAGTAATACGTATGATAATGAAATAAACCAGTGCGATAAACCGAGAGATACACTAGCTTCTGTATTTTCTCATTTAGGCTACTTTTTTAAACATATATTTACAGCCAATCTTTGAGAATTTTTCTGTAAAATTTTTGAACTGACATCAACAAAGTACTATAATAATACATACACAGCGATAAATATAATCAGCAAAATGAAAAAATAATCAATTACGCATTGCGGTAACAGTACAACGTTCATATCAACAGTCCAGAAAGTTCTGCAGGGTTAGGCACTTAAGACTGGAGAGCACTTACAGCAATTGAAAGTGTCGTTCCAGCGACGATTTGACATCTTTAACGATCGTAAAGGCAAACGAATGTACATTGCATGATGTTATACATGTATCTGCATCTTATAAGTCACTGGATCCTCTTGACAGCTAAAACAGTCTGTAATGCCACATATACAGTAGCAGTCAACCGCGCAAACTAATGAACAGAAAAGAATCTTTCCACAAACCACTTTTATCTACTTAGACAACAGTACTCAAGACCAATACCTGAGGAGTAATACGTATGATAATGAAATAAACCAGTGCGATATACCGAGAGATACACTAGCGTCTGTATTTTCTCATTTAGGCTACTTTTTTAAACATATATTTACAGCCAATCTTTGAGAATTTTTCTGTAAAATTTTTGAACTGACATCAACAAAGTACTATAATAATACATACACAGCGATAAATATAATCAGCAAAATGAAAAAATAATCAATTACGCATTGCGGTAACAGTACAACGTTCATATCAACAGTCCAGAAAGTTCTGCAGGGTTAGGCACTTAAGACTGGAGAGCACTTACAGCAATTGAAAGTGTCGTTCCAGCGACGATTTGACATCTTTAACGATCGTAAAGGCAAACGAATGTACATTGCATGATGTTATACATGTATCTGCATCTTATAAGTCACTGGATCCTCTTGACAGCTAAAACAGTCTGTAATGCCACATATACAGTAGCAGTCAACCGCGCAAACTAATGAACAAGTCACTATAAGGCTTCGTACGATTAATGTTTATGGTACAAAATCTTCCAAAGCAGCAACCAGACAGTTTATTAAACCATATGCACGTCACTATTTCAGAGACAAGATAAAAAATACGAACAATCTTGCAAAGACATGCACATTTTTTGGGTGGTGTTTGGCCCAGAATATACTCTACGCAAATATGTGAACGCAAACACTTCTAGCTACAGCATGCAAACTCGATTTCACAGTTTTAAAATGTGTCGATTGAGAATTCAACAAGTACGAGTTGCATTGTCAATGTTGCCACAAGGGGTGCTATTGCACCTATTTACACTCATTAATTCCTAGTTACTTCCAAATGAATAAAACAGTGATTGAATTAATGGTACAAATATTAAACAATAAAACAATATTCCCTCTCAATTACTGAAATTTGTACGCAAGCCTGTTTCCACCTCAGAATGCAAAAATTATAATAAGAATTGTGACTTTATTTCTTGTAATTGTACCTTTTTATTTTACAATTTTTAAATTTTTAAAATACGACTTAATATCTCACAATTGTGACTATTTCTTGTTGTCGCAACAGGGTTATTATTATTATTAACTAAAACTAAAAACTTTTAAAAACATTTTTGTTCATTGAAATAAAGCTAAATTAATCAAATAAAATATAAAATTAAAAATGTGATGTAAAACGTAAACTAAAGAAAAATTACAAATGTTGGCAACTAACGGAGATAAAAATAAATGAAACCTAAATAGTAAGATAAAAAAAAAAAAACACAAAAAATACTAAAATTAAAATGACTAAATTTAGCAAAATGTAAAATTTAAATAAAAACACAAAAAATTAACTAATATAAAATCCTAAGTGCATCTATTTCTTACAACTACAACTTTCCTCACAACTGGGAGTAATTTTTTTACTTCCTGTAATATTTTTTCAATAGGAGACAGATACAGTCTTTTACAAGTTTGTTACTGCTACAGTAATGCAAGAAAACAAGTTACATATATACTATAGGAAGCTAGCAATACATTGGCGTCTACGTACCTGTGCAGAGTATGTTTCTGGCCTTCGGCGGATGAAATACTGGTACGATTTCTAGTCATAAAACTAAAACGAAACCCACAGAATAAACATTAAAACAACTCAAGGCGAGTAAAACCCTCGTTTCGCATAGTTTGAAGTTTTGTCCCTACCCTATCAGGCCTCACACGCTGTTGGGGTTATAGCAGAGCATGTTGAGCTGCAGGTTCTCGTCCCAGTGTCTGAGGATGATGAAGAGTTGATTGGCCGTGGCTTTGACCGACGCCAGGTCTCGGCCCTCTGGGACGATCTGTTCATCTAGCCACATGCTGGCCTTGGCGGCGATCATCTCCCACTCTATGAAATAATTGGCCGAACTGTGTTCCAGCCAGGCCAGAGCAACAGCAGTCGCCCACACCATCCCCTCGGTGTCTTGCACGGCCCTTCGCAGGATCCCGGGTGAACCCGGCAGGGGTGTCTCCGCGATTTCAGACTCAGACCCCCGTCCGCTGTCATACAAAGAGTTGACAGGCGATGGAGGGGCTTCGGTCGACATCGACGAGAAGCCACTCAACAACGAAGGCTCGCCCTCCGTCCGAGGGCTTCGGGCCTGGAATGAGGAAGAAGACGTGCGGGATACCATCTCCTCGCATTCGTTGAAGTCTGAGTCTTTTGGAGGAGGCGAGGAGCCGTGGTGGACCTCCAGACTCTCGGAGCGGCGGGAGCCGGAGTGGGACACGTGAGTAAGGCTGAGTCTGTGGCTGGTGAAGGGCGACGTCCACTTCAGCTTGTCCATGGGCACGTTGATGGCATCACACAAGGCACTGTCCAACATGAACGCCCCACAAGACAGCTGCAATGACACCTGCAACAGGAAGTAGAAACCATAATGTCTACTTAATCAGTGCTCAAACATATAAACAAGCTCAGAGACGGAACTTCAATGAGCCATTTAAGGTCTTTAGGCATTGTCAATTACATTAGCCTTAAAAATACGCTCTACTGATTTTGTTACGCCTCATCACCGTTTACTTTGAGTAATTGCCATGACCAATATAGTCTTCTCAAATAGTACATCTCATTTAACCAGACTTAGCGTTTATGAGATATTGATCGGTGCTTGTTAAATGTCAACAGATCTATTACTCACTATACGTAAAGAAGACTGCCTTTGTGTGAAGGGTGAGTATTGACCAGCTATTTATAGGTTATGAGGCGAGTGGATGCAATACACGCTATTGAAGTCAACATGAAACTCATTTACTTCCACAATGAAAAAAAAATAAATTATATATATATATATATATTGTGACGAGCGTCCCGAGCTCACATCAGCGTTGCCCTGGAAACGGACGAGGAACACCGGCACCCGCTCATCACGGGCTGATTGGTCACAGCTGAGAGTCATCAGCCCATGGCCAGATAAGCCGCGTGAGGCCCGAGGAAGGGAGGAAGAGATGGTCTCCCAGAAGCGGAAAGCTAACGTGTTGTCTCCTTCACACTTACATATAATAAACAGAGTAAAGGTTATGTGTATTTGGCGTGCTGTCCAAAGGGGAGGCCTCCGAGCTCGGAATTTTGGCCTGAACCCAGAGTATAACCTCCCCTCTCAGGTTAGGATAGGAATAGTTTTAAGAGAGGAGATGGGGTGATGGAGGGATGCTGGAAAACTGTCAAGGAACAGAGGTAAGTCTGCTGTGTATATATACAGTACACCTCTTATCTTGTTAATTGGGTTGATTACTGATTTAGCTCCTCTCGTGTTAATTAGATTAATTATCTGAGCGTGCTCCTCCCGAACTTTCTTAATAAAACATCATTACCATATTTAACTCAGTTAACGCAGGGGCGGGGTTGGGCCACCCCACTGCTGCTTCTGTCTCTTTTTTTTCTTGACAAGAATTGTTTATTTAGATGCAGAATGTCTTTATGACCACATCAAAAGGGAGACTTTTCAAACGCGCACTCCACTTCACCTCAGCTCCAGGCGCTAGTCAAACGAGCGCAGAAACAGTACAGGTGACTAAGAGCGTCAGATGAGGTTTTGTCAGGCCAGATGTCAGTAAAAACGAATTTCCTGTCCTGTCAGCCATTATACTGTGCTTGTACAGCGTGCTGTGCAATTGCACGCACAAATGCGGCAGCGCACACTTTGAAAATACAATGCGTGTCAAATCTGCGTCAAGTTCAGCAGCGGCAGCTCTTAAAGTAATAGCAGCCAAACAACCCAATAACCCAGCTGCTGTGATGTCTGTTAATCAAAGAACAAAAGAAAATAGAGGAAATCAATAATTGTTGTAGCTTTAAGGATTCATCTATATTCACTTTAGAATTTAGTGTTTGATAACTTTATTCAGTTGCTGTATATTTCCTACTTGCTGGGCACAGGTAGCTAAATATGACATTAATTATAATGGGTTTATGTGAAGATTGTTTTAAGTTCACTTAAATTAGAAGTAGTTATTTTTTAAAGTCTAATAAATGTTAAACTTGATAGCTCTCAATTATACGGTGATGTTGAATGGCTATAGTCAGTGGTTAAATATTAGGAAAACGAGAACAATTTCCTAGAGACATCAGTAGTATTGGTATCAGTGACACTTGTCTTCAGTCATAAAAACGGTGCCATTAAACAAATATTAAAAATATACTATCTTTATGTTGTTTCTACATTCATTTGAAGATTGAATGTGAAAATATTGCAATCACGATTAATTTCCGAAAAAATTTGCAAATAATTAGTTAATTTTCTAATCGATTGACAGCACTAATATATATGTATATATATAAAACATGCATTAAAAAAGTTAAAGGGGTGGTTGACTGCTTTTTTTCTAGGCTTGATTGTGTTAATGGGGTGCAGTGTAACATGTCTTCATGCTTTGTTTAAAAAAAAAAAAAGCCTTGTTTTTCATATATTTTACCTTTATTCTACGCCACTGTCTCCATTGTCATTTGAACGGCCGGTTGACTTCCTGTTTCTATGATACCACTTACTCCTAAATATTCAGCTGGCCCAGTGTATTGTGATTCGCTAACCGCGTATTGCACGTTGTCCGGAAACGTCATGCCCTTTACCATTACGGGCAATAGTTGCATGTGCTCCAGTGGAAAAGCCGTGCAACATAGCCTCGCCCCCTTTGTTGCGTGTTCCTGGAGGTGGGGTTTATGTTAATTTCAGGGTTTGTGATGTCACCAACCAGGGAAGTAGCTTGGTGTAGTCCCTACCAATCGTAATTGTAGGCATTAAACAGACTTTTCTTTAAAAGACAATATCTCCGTTTCCATTGAACTTTCAGCGCCGTTAACTTTACAGATATTGTTTATGCTCAAACAGCAACATTACACACTAACTAAAGTTAAAAAGTGAAATCGCAATCAACCACTCCTTTAATAGGGGCAATTTCAATTTCATTTTGACTTCAAATGTATGTTCTACTGAAACCACAGTGCAACAACATCCTGAAAGTAGAATATGGTGACAAAAACCAGAGGGATGTAGTCCTTGTTGTCATTTTCGCTCTCTCCTACTGAGTTGCTGATTTTGCTCTGCGACCGGCTCATGAAGCCCCTGGCGGCTTTCGTCAGGAGACGTGTCCTGCTCAGGCTCAGCTTGCTGGAGGCAAAAAGAAACAACACCTTTTACTCCGGTGCCTCACTATCGTCATTAAATGCACAGACACGTCTAAAGTGCTTTTTCTTGATGAAATCTGCCCCTTCACATCCTTTAATTTGCGGGGTGTGTACACATCCCTGATAGCGCCGCTCCTCACGTTTTGGTCATTAGTTCGGCTGACCTTTCAAGTGACAGCGAGAGGTAAAACTATGAAAGAGAATCCAGACACGAAAGTGAAGTGTTTATTTTGGGGCCTGGAGTACCATCTATCTTTTGTTTTAAATGTTGTTTTTATGCACTTAAAATATAGGAATTTGTATAGGAATTGGATTAGGATATAATCCAGGCCGGATTTGAACCAATTAGTTATCAAAGATTAATACATTACATAAACTATTTATTTATGGTGCATGTCCTAATTAATATTTATTAATATTCATGAGCTAAGCCTATAGTATTCAGTGATACAGTATTCACCCTGCAGTTAATTTACCCTCTGCATATGATGTCAGTGTTTCTTAAAGCCAAGCGTTAATTAAAACTGAAACTGAGTGGTTGTGACTAACATCCTTTAATTTTCACACTTCTTCAGGCTGGAGTATCCTTCACTTCATACTCAAGAAGTTTAGACTAATTTTTTTTAAAGGAAAATGCTAATAGCAAAACCATTGACGTCAAGAGAGCAAACACTTGCCAGGAGATAATTGTCACACTGATTCATTTAATTGTAATAAAAAAAATAAATAAATAAAAATAATTATTATAAGAAAAAATAATTCATAAAAGCATTATGTACTTCACAACAAAATATAACAACAAAATGATTACAAAATCGCCTAGATACCTGCGCAAATTTGTCGTATTGTCAGTCTACGCATCTCCTGTCTTTACATTTTTTTAATGACTAATGAATGTCTGTCTTCTCTGAGAGTTGAACTCATTGCATGTACCCAACAGACTACCAAAAGCAATCAAAATGCAAATTCGACTCATGATTTAAAACAATGGCGCAGGAGCGACGCAAACTGCTGAATTATTCATTTCTGTTCTGTGAATTACAGTGTTTTTAAATAGTGTAACTTGATTTGTGGATGTTGTTTGCTCTTTCCCCCTTCTCGTTCCCTCTGTCTACACCCACCTGGCGGAGAAAAGGCTCTCAACTGATCTCTGCGAGGGGTCGGAGGTCACCGATGGACTCCTTTGAGAGGCTGAAAAAGAGAGAGCAGGTTGGATTCTGATGATTTCTATGGCCCAGCACACACACACACCCAAACAAATACACTGCACTCCAAGGCAAAGAGCACTCAATAAATTTGCCTGTGCTCCTCTAGATCAAATCGAATTAATTAATTCAGCAGCTACAAACTTGAGTGATTAATGCTGCTGTGATGGCTTCACATGCTTGAACACCTGCAATTCTGTCAGGACCACTATTATCGTCAAAGATGATTGATAATTAGCATACAGTTGGATACTCTGCACTCCAAGGCAAAGAGCACTCAATAAATTTGCCTGTGCTCCTCTAGATCAAATCGAATTAATTAATTCAGCAGCTACAAACTTGAGTGATTAATGCTGCTGTGATGGCTTCACATGCTTGAACACCTGCAATTCTGTCAGGACCACTATTATCGTCAAAGATGATTGATAATTAGCATACAGTTGGTGGTATGGTTCTGTTCTGGGCAAGAACTCCCTGCGCATCCATTTCTAGCATGGATGAGAGCAGGGAGAGCAGCGATAACCCCCCAAGGGTAAACAGAACAGAATCAAAATAAATTTATTGCAGATATCGTTAAAGTTCAATAATGTTATGTACACATTTTAGAATTAGTCTGATTCAAAGGAGAATCAGAAGGCTGAATCCTGACTGACAAAGGAGGAGCTGGGGATGGAGGAGGGTAATTAGCTATTGAGCAATGCGAAAACTGCTGATAATACTGAGGGACCTTATATATGAATGCTTAGATAGGTGTCGTATTCCCATAGGTTGATGGGGATCAACTGAGAGTCAGCTGATGCAAGCTTGACTAACGTGACCTGCCAGAACTAACGCTACGCTTGATGACTATAATAAATGAAGTAACTAAGTGAATCCAGACAGTTAGAGAAAAGTACCTTCAGAAGAGCTACATCGTTCCCAGCTGGATGATGAGGGTGTTTTGCAGGGGGCTTGGGATGAATCGTCTACGTACATAGAGCAAAGAAGCGTTTTAGGGTGCAGACACAAGTCCTTTTGACATCAGTTTGGAATGAAAGCTGTTATCTGAACTAGCATTAAGGAATCACATCCATACATGCATTTGTAAATGGGTCTGAGCTGATGATAGTTTATGTGCACTCAAGAAGATTTTACAATAACATGCACATTTGTTTGTTCATAGCACCCCTGCTGGAGATTTTAGTGAAAGTAGTTTTCTATATATTTAACATATTTTAAAATGTAAAGTATTCCTGTGATGTAAAGCTGATTTTTCAGCATCATTATGCCAGCCTTCAGAAATCATTCTAATATTTTGATTTGGTGCTCAAGAAACATTTCTTATTATCAATGCTGAAAACAGTTGTGCTGCTTCATATTTTTCTGTAAACTGTGATGCATTTTACATTTGTCAAAAGAACAGCATTTATTTGTAATATAAATATTTTGTAACATTATAAATGTCTTTACTGTCACTTTTGACCAATTTAATAGATTTACGGAAGAAATTTTTTTTAAATTTATTTAAAAAAAATGTATACTGACCCCAGACTTATGAGCAGTATAGTGTATATTTTGACCAACCTTTCATCAAATTGATATTTTATTGTCAGAATACTCTGACAACACATATATATTTTTGTGTTAAAGTTTTGTGGGTGTTTTTGGTTTGGTTTTATGAGGCTACTGGACCTCTGGGTGAAGATTTGATAGTTTGTCATTGAGGTCTGTACACAAAATAGTATGTGAAACTGTTCAAAATTCCCCAAAATTGTATACATATTTGACTGTAAGCCACGTTGTTCTGGGCAAGAACTCCCTGCGCATCCATTTCTAGCATGGATGAGAGCAGGGAGAGCAGCGATAACCCCCCGAGGGTAAACAGAACAGAATCAAAATAAATTTATTGCAGATATCGTTAAAGTTCAATAATGTTATGTACACATTTTAGAATTAGTCTGATTCAAAGGAGAATCAGAAGGCTGAATCCTGACTGACAAAGGAGGAGCTGGGGATGGAGGAGGGTAATTAGCTATTGAGCAATGCGAAAACTGCTGATAATACTGAGGGACCTTATATATGAATGCTTAGATAGGTGTCGTATTCCCATAGGTTGATGGGGATCAACTGAGAGTCAGCTGATGCAAGCTTGACTAACGTGACCTGCCAGAACTAACGCTACGCTTGATGACTATAATAAATGAAGTAACTAAGTGAATCCAGACAGTTAGAGAAAAGTACCTTCAGAAGAGCTACATCGTTCCCAGCTGGATGATGAGGGTGTTTTGCAGGGGGCTTGGGATGAATCGTCTACGTACATAGAGCAAAGAAGCGTTTTAGGGTGCAGACACAAGTCCTTTTGACATCAGTTTGGAATGAAAGCTGTTATCTGAACTAGCATTAAGGAATCACATCCATACATGCATTTGTAAATGGGTCTGAGCTGATGATAGTTTATGTGCACTCAAGAAGATTTTACAATAACATGCACATTTGTTTGTTCATAGCACCCCTGCTCGAGATTTTAGTGAAAGTAGTTTTCTATATATTTAACATATTTTAAAATGTAAAGTATTCCTGTGATGTAAAGCTGATTTTTCAGCATCATTATGCCAGCCTTCAGAAATCATTCTAATATTTTGATTTGGTGCTCAAGAAACATTTCTTATTATCAATGCTGAAAACAGTTGTGCTGCTTCATATTTTTCTGTAAACTGTGATGCATTTTACATTTGTCAAAAGAACAGCATTTATTTGTAATATAAATATTTTGTAACATTATAAATGTCTTTACTGTCACTTTTGACCAATTTAATAGATTTACGGAAGAAATTTTTTTTAAATTTATTTTAAAAAAATGTATACTGACCCCAGACTTATGAGCAGTATAGTGTATATTTTGACCAACCTTTCATCAAATTGATATTTTATTGTCAGAATACTCTGACAACACATATATATTTTTGTGTTAAAGTTTTGTGGGTGTTTTTGGTTTGGTTTTATGAGGCTACTGGACCTCTGGGTGAAGATTTGATAGTTTGTCATTGAGGTCTGTACACAAAATAGTATGTGAAACTGTTCAAAATTCCCCAAAATTGTATACATATTTGACTGTAAGCCACGTTATCCCAAATTTATGTTTTTGAGCCTTTTTGTGACATTTAACCAGTGGCACTGTCAATGAACTGCTTGGGTGCCAACTTTCATTGCCACCTAATGCACTCAATAGACCAAAGCATTGGAAAATTCAATCTCACTTCCTGTTTGGCATCCTCACCATCAAATATGTTAATGCATTAAGCAGTTTCATATATCAGAAGTCTTCAGTTTCAAGATTGTCTGACTCAAAGTCTAACGACCGGTTGTTAGTTTTTAAGACAAAATGTGAACGTTGACCTGTTGGTGGCACTAGAGAGTTTAAAATTGGGTATGATAAAAGTTGATACTCGCCTCAATAAATGTACCAAATTTCATAACTTTTTACCAAATGTTTCTAGGGATTGCCATAGACTCACAGCCAGAAGAAATGAAAGAATAAGAAATGAAATTAAACCAAGCTTCAGTCTCTTTCATGCAATATAAAAATCAAGTCTTTTATGATCCATCCATTTTTTACTCCACACTTGTAAACAAGCCAATTGTCAGTACTTTGTCATCAATCTTACTGTAGCATAACGCTGCATCTTCTTGCCCAGGCAAACCTCCTGACTGCGAGCGACCCAGACCCACAGAGTAACCACGGTTCTTCCTGCTGACGGGACGAGAACTGCAGTGCGAACTTCGTTTATGATCATCCCCTGGAGATAAACAAATACACAAGGAGTCATTACAATAATCTAATTGTGTGCTTAAGCCAGGAGCGACTGCTTCATCTGTTTCCCTGCTCCTTGATTTCTTCTTCCTGAGAAGAGTGTCTTTTGACATAATGATTGCAACTGCCAGGCCTTGTGAGCTCAGATGAACTAGAAGAATGACCTACCAGGATGGCTGTACTCAATGCAGGTGGGTAAATATTCATTGCTGTCCAGATCGATAGGTACAAACGCTGTGTATTTGCTTAAGATGTTGCAGGCTTTGCTCGTGTGGATGGCGTAAAGCTGGTACCTTCTCCCAGAACCTACAAGAAATGACATAGAGGGATTTGGTCAGATATTCAAGCAAGTTGGATGTTTTAATATTTGGTAATTCGACTGTACCATGCTCAATCTCACACTCTTTATCCACCATGTGTTCAAAGTCTTGAATAATGGAGCGTCCCGCCAGGTGATGAAAGGTTTCGTTCCACAGGTCCTCGTAAACTTTCTCCTCCCGCTCTCGGCCTTTCAGGTAAGGCTGGATGTCAAAGGTCACCTCCCATCTCATGAGCTTCCCGCACAGCAGTCCTGATATGACTGCTTTGCAATCTCCCTTTCCGTGACTGGCCTTGAATTCTGGCGCGTGAGGATCCTGGGGCGTTTCGACTTCACAAAGCTGATGCATGTAGCCATCTGTTCGAAAATGCACAGAAGGTAAACATAATATTCAGAGTATTAACAGATGCTTTTCCTGCTGAAAACATCAGAAACCAGTTGGCTGAGTGTATAATGACAAGTTAAAATGGCAAAGGTTTGATATTTTTTAAATCAACTAGTTGTTGGGTTGCTTAAAGGAACCCTGTATAACTAAGGTCCAACAGATTTTGTTGAGATGGCATTTTTAGGAGATGTTCATGCTTTAAAAACAGCTAAAGGAGGATAAAAAGCCTTAAATGAATAGTTTACCCAAAATTGAAAATTCCGCATTACTCACCCTCATGTTGTTCCAAACCCGTAAGACCTTGGTTCATCTTAGTTAATCACAAATTAAGATATTTTCGATGAAATCCAAGAGCTTTCTGTCCCTGCATAGACAGCAACACAACTACCACGTTCAAGGCACAGAAAGGTAGTAAGGACATCGTTAAAATAGTCCATGTGACATCATTGGTTCAACCTTAATTTTATGAAGCTGCGAGAATACTTTTTCACAAGCCTCAATCTTGATCCTTGAACATGGTAGTTCCGGGTCAGAAAGCTCTCGGATTTCATCAAAAATATCTTAATTTGTGTTCCGAAGATGAAGGAAGTTTTATGGTGAGGTTTGGAATGACACGAGGGTGTGTAATTAACGACAGAATTTTCATTTTTGGGTGAACTACCCCTTTAATGTTTTTAAAAGTTAGTTTTGAAAGTGCTTCAAACTTGACACACTGTCTTAAAAATGCAACTCTCATGGTGCCGAAAAAGAGTGCGATGTCTGAATCTGAGAACATGTAGCTGTTTAATATGGTAACTGACAGGCAATTAGGTTGAATATCTTTTTTATTGCACAAAACTATTAGCTGATAGTCGCCATAAAAACCGAGACCTACGGATTATGAATAATGACAGGACAATTGCTCACAGCAGGCGATTTGAAGTCTGACAGACTTGAAATTTATTGTTGAATACTGTGGATTGGTTACATAAGCTGTGTTTTGAAGGCGGTGCTTTAAAAGTTATGAATTGAGCGACTTTATAGTACATTAAACACCAGTATTAAATCAATAACAGATCTGCTCATCTAAAATCATATACAGGTGCATCTCAATAAATTAGAATGTTGTGGAAAAGTTCATTTATTTCAGTAATTCAACTCAAATTGTGAAACTCGTGTATTAAATAAATTCAGTGCACACAGACTGAAGTAGTTTAAGTCTTTGGTTCTTTTAATTGTGATGATTTTGGCTCACGTTTAACAAAAACCCACCAATTCACTATCTCAACAAATTAGAATACTTCATAAGACCAATAAAAAACATTTTTAGTGAATTGTTGGCCTTCTGGAAAGTATGTTCATTTACTGTACATGTACTCAATACTTGGTAGGGGCTCCTTTTGCTTTTTAATTACTGCCTCAATTCGGCGTGGCATGGAGGTGATCAGTTTGTGGCACTGCTGAGGTGGTATGGAAGCCCAGGTTTCTTTGACAGTGGCCTTCAGCTCATCTGCATGTTTTGGTCT